TTCCGCAGCCACGAGTTCGAAGTCCGCTGGAGGCCGAGCTGCGAGAGAAATGTCGATTTCGTGAGGGAAGCAGGAAGGCTCCCCGGAGGACGCGACCTTTAGCCCCTCGCCGGCGCCCGTGCAGCTGGGGCATCAGGGTGCGCAGCCGCCGGCCTCTCACGGCCAAGCGCCCACGGCTCCGGGGCTCCGGGACCCCGGATCCGTGAGATCGTTCCTTTTTGCTTTTCATTTGGATAGTGGATCGTGTTTGGGGCTTTTTCCCCATACAGTTCTAGAGCGTTTCTTTCTAGCTGGAAGGCGGATCGAAGACCAACAAGTTTACAATCAAGTGCATTTGAGACGATTGCACCGGCCCTTTAATGCCCCCCCCCGGGGGGGGGGTGAACCTAAACAAGACAGATTCAGTCTCCAAAAGTGTAGGGACCGTAGATCCATCTACAGCCCTTTTCAAAACTATTCCATAAAAAATATTATAGACCCGCGGGAAGGAGGGCCACGGGGTCGGGGTGGGGGGTGGTAATGCGGACTCTAGGGAGAGCGCATCAAGGTCGAAAAAAATAGTTCCAGGGATAAAATGAAGAACTCTTGTTGGCCTTTGCGGGGCCGCGGGCTCCACTGGGTGCCTTCCCGGAGCGCTGAGCCAGCTGCTCGCCCCCTGGCAGTGCCCGGGCTCATTGCAGGATGGGACGGCCCAGGTCCAGCCGGCCCGTGACCCACTTGGGATGGTCAGAAGGGCAGCCCGAGGCGGGTTTGAGGCTGGAGAACAATTTCGTCCTGCTTGTTTAGCCCGTCTCAGTCTGGTACTCCTATCCCGTCCGGGGATCAAGGTGTCATTTACTCCTGTTACCTGAAAGGACCTTTCCAAAGCCCGGCCGCTGCACCAGAAGCTTTGGGAGATGTTTAAACATTGTAAGATCGACCTCAAACTACATTCTCCTCTGCTGCTGCTGGATTAGACTGTTTTAACCAAGAGTGGGATTGGATATGAGGGGAGGGGGCAAAGTCCCCACTCACAAAATTGGGGGCCAGGTGTACTCATCTGGACCGGGGAAGATTTCAAGGCAACAGTGTCTTGTATACCACTAAGCCCGTGCCGGGGAACAGAATGAGGATGTCTTAATTCCATAAAATGGGCTTGTTAAAATCTGAGTCCCACTTTTGTTGCCTGGTGTTTCCCGAAGGGACGATACTGCTCCTGGGTGGGGGTAGGTGCTGGAACTTGGGGATGGGGGCAGGCGGAGGGGGGCGCGGGGGGCGGGGGGGAATGGCGAAAGCAGATACCTAGTTAGTGAGGAGCAGGGGTGACATCGTGCTTTACACACTGGGCTGCTGACCACAAGGTCTGCAGATGGAAACCACCAGCGGCTCTAGGGGAGAAAGAGAGGCTATCTGCTCTCATCAACAGTTACAGCCTTGGAAAGCCCCAGGGGCACTTCTGCCCTGTCCTAGGGTCACTCTGAATGGGAAATCAATTCGATGAAAGGGGTTGGAGAGATTTTTTTTAATACTTTATCCTGTATTGGGGCTAGTACAAAAGTTTTAAATTACCGAGGGGCACTGGGTTGTTTTGTTTTTTTTTTCTTAAGAGGAGGTGGTCGTTTATGAACCTGTGAACTAGAGTGTTGTGAAATGTTCCGCAAGTTCATTTATACATGTTCTTAAAAAAATTTAAAAAAAACCTAATTACCATCAAGTGCGTTCTGACTCACAGCAGCCTCATGGGATGGAGGAGAAACCTGCCTTCGTAGGTTTCTGGGATGGTAAATCTTTAGGGAAGCAGAAAGCTTCATCTTTCTCCTGCAAAGCAGAAGATGGTTTTGAACCGCTGCACTTGTGGTAAGCAGTTCAACGTGTAACCCAGTCCGCCACCAGGGCTCCCCTCTGTACCTCCCAGACCATCAGTATTTCAAGTGTCAAGGCTGATCCCAAACGCAACCACTAGGTTTCTTTTTCCTAATGATGCTCATCTTGATGGTTCAAGTACATTCATCATTTTCTAATAACTTTTGTAGAAGGTGCTCTGGCTGCATAGTGGTTCCACATCAGGCTGCTAACCGCAAGGCCAGTAGTTTGAAGCCACCAGTCGTTCTGAGGGCGAAAGAGGAGGTTTTCTACTCTCAAAAAGATTCACAGTCTCGGAAACCCACAGGGGTGGTTGTACTTTGCCCTAGAGGGTCACTCTGAGTCAAGACCGATCAGTGTCAATGAGAATGGTTTCCTGGATAACTTGTGTGTCCGAAAAGCCAGCCCCATGTTCCCACTGCCTCTTGTGTGACCACGACGGAATGGGATCGTTCCAGGTCAATGCTGGTGCCTAAAATAAGACAAAGTAATTAAAGACATGCATTCCGAGCCGGCTGAGAGAGTAAGTACATCATGAAACAGGATCAAACTTGCTCAAAATGAGGAGAACACAATCCTTTGGGGACACAAAGGAGGTTTTACAACCAGCTTAGAAAGGGTGGGAAACGGCATTACTCATCAGGATGGTGAAGAGGGTGGGATCTTGTGCAGAGGGGTTGATTGTGAAAGAGAGGCTTAACTAGGAATCAATGAAGACAAACCATATCCTGCAAAAAATAATCAGGGAGTGGGGGGCTCCAGTTGCTTCCCACATAGCAAATGGACCCATTTCATTTCTCCCTTACCAGTTGTAATCAATGAACCTGTTACCCGAGAAGTTTGGGTTCCAAACTACAACAGGGTGATGTGACCTTATTGGGGCAATAACTGAGAAGTTGAATTTTTCTGGGTTTCTCTTTCATAGTATCTCTCGTTAAAACCTACATTAAAATCATAACTGACTGCAATACTTCTCAAAATAGAAATACACTGAGGTCCTTCCTAAGCAGTCAGTCCCAGGAGATAGTAAGGCCAATCCATAATCACAAATTAGGATATCCCTGCCACCTCGTGCCCGGGGGCCTGGTGGCATAGTGGTTTCTGTGTTGGGCCACTAACCACCAGGGCAGTAGTTCGAGCCCACCAGCTCGTCCAAGGCAGAAGGCAAGGCTTTCTGCTGTCATAAAGACTTACTATCTCAGAAGGCACGGGTCGCTCTGAGGCATAACTGACTGGATGGCAGTGAGTCTGGTCACGTGCTTAGAGACCACATTCCTAATATGTTGCTTTTCGTCCATAAAAAGGGAGTGGGACCTGGGTGAATTTTAACTTGGGTGCCTCAGATGTCACGCCTGCCATTGCTAAACCACCATTTCACGGCCACCTCCCCAGTCTATAAAAGTCAACCGGGTATTTTCAGGACGCTTTCTCTGCAGAGAGACTTGGTGCAGCCTTGCATTCGGTGGCTTTACCTAGATTATTTCATTTCTTGACTTCATGACTCATCTGCTTCTGCAACTTCAAGTGTCAGCCCCAAGGGTACAGTCCTAAGTTTGAAGCTGACAAGCCACCCCCACAGGGACAGGCCGTGTCCTGAGGAACTTGTACAAAGGAACCAGAGAGACCCAAGGGGTTTCCCATATTGGATTCTGTGGGTTCAGTCAGAACTGAGTCTAGCCTTGAAGTGAAAGCGTACTTTTTTGCTTGTGGGGTTCCACCCCCACCCCTAAATTCCTCTGGGAAACAAAAAAACCCACTTCCCTCAAGGCAATTCAGACCCAGCGAGGCTGTAAATCTTTACAGGAGCAGACTAGCCTCCTTGTTCTCCTGAGGAGCAACAGGTGGCTTTGAACCACCGACCTTGTGATTAGCAACTCAACGCATACCTGACAGCACCATCAAGGAGGGCATCTTCTCAGGCGAACAGCTACTCTTTGTGAGGCAATCTTGACCAACACCCATTGCCCTTGAGTGGAGTTCAGCTCATAGCAACCCTGTAGAACAGAGAACTGCCCCTGTGGGTTTCTGAGAGTAGAACTTGGCAAGAGTAGAAAGCCTCCCCGTCTCTCTCCCTTGGAGCTGCTGGCAATTTCCAAGTACTGCCCTTGTGGTTAGCAATCAGTGCATAACCCACGACGACGATGAAGCCAGGGCTCCTTAGACAGCCTTTCCAAAACAACCAGCCAAACTCACTGCCACCAAATCTCTGCCCACTGACCGTGACCCTGTGGGACCCCGTGAGTTTCCGAGACTGTCCCTCTTTACGGGAAAGTGCCGTCTTTCTCCAATGGAGCAGCTGGTGTTTTCAAACTGCTAACCTTGCAGACTGCCGCCCACCAACACTTAACCATGACACCACCAGGGCTCCTTAGGCAGCCTCCAGGGGACCCATAAAAAACATGTCCAAAGTGGTTTAGGAATTAGATGTTTAATCCTTGGGCATTAGATGTTTAATCCTATGTCAAACTAGGTTGGCTTTGTTTGTCCTTCTTGTGATGAGTTATACAAGAGCTGGCCTTTGTTGGAAAGGGATTGGAGATCCATTTCCTGAGACCCAGAGGAACCTCCCAGATCCTACCCTGACTCATCTGCCCTCCTCTCATTGTGTTCATTTTTGTCTTTTTCAGCACAAACTCCCCTGCAGAGAAGATGGATTGGGGCGCACTGCAGAATATTTTGGGGGGTGTCAATAAGTACTCCACCAGCATTGGCAAAATCTGGCTGACCGTCCTCTTTATCTTCCGAATTATGATTCTGGTCGTGGCTGCCAAGGAGGTGTGGGGAGATGAGCAAGCCGACTTTATCTGCAACACTCTCCAGCCAGGATGCAAAAACGTGTGCTATGACCACCACTTTCCCATCTCTCACATCCGCCTGTGGGCGCTGCAGCTGATCTTTGTGTCCACGCCCGCCCTCCTGGTCGCCATGCACGTTGCCTACAGGAGACACGAGAAGAAGAGGAAGTTCATTAAAGGCGAGATCAAGAATGAGTTCAAGGACATAGAAGAGATCAAGGCTGAGAAGGTCCGCATCGAAGGGCCACTCTGGTGGACGTACACAAGCAGCATCTTCTTCCGAGTGGTCTTCGAAGCGGTCTTCATGTATGTCTTCTACATCATGTATGACGGCTTCTCCATGAAGCGCTTGGTGAAGTGCACCTCGTGGCCTTGCCCCAACACAGTGGACTGCTTCGTCTCCCGGCCCACGGAAAAGACTGTGTTCACAGTTTTCATGATCGCGGTGTCCGGAATTTGCATCCTGCTGAATGTCACTGAGTTGTGTTATTTGCTTATTCGATATTTTTCTGGAAAGACCAAAAAACCAGTTTAACACTTTGCCCTGCTGTTAGGTGGAAGGCAGACAGCATGAAAAGGCTGAGGTAACTACCTCGAATTAGCTGTCAAGTCAGAGTCCCCCATCTCCCAAGGTAAAGATACTGGTCTTACATGCAGCCACCTGAACAAGCCCCCCGCTGCCTCCCTACCCCCCAACACCTCACAGGAAACTCCACATGCCTGTGGTGGAGGTTCCACTCGCCTCGAACATCTCAAAGCAAAGGCTTAGTTCTAGGTCTATACTATTTGTCACTAAAATCCATTCCAGTCTTTATAAGTTTATCTTTGTATTTTAAATAAAGGAGAAAGAACATTGGGATCTACAGGAAACACCCATCTGGTTTGGTGGTTCCTCTGAGGGTCCCCTTGGTCAGGGTGCCTAGAATTAAAGGTAAATTGAGAAACACTGGATTCTTTTAATTGTTTGATACGTGTTCATTTCTAACGCTGGACCCCATTACCGACTGCTTCCAATTTTGTTACCCTGATGTTCTAAAAACTTTCTGTGTCCCTCCTTGTTTTAAAGGCACCAAATGTGACAGGTGAGTGGGGTGGGATGTGATACTGCCATTTCATTTACCACGTGGATCATGGCCAGGGCCACCCAGAGGCATCTCCACTGGGTCGGCTGTCCCCTGTCCCCGATAAAAACATTTCTGTGCCTTTCAAGTGACTCATCTCAACTGATCCCCAGCCAGAAACCCTTAGCAATGCCTTAGGGTCACAGAGAGCCTCAGTTTAAAAGTGTAGGTGGACTCTTTCAGAAGAAACACCAGTTCTGGTCATAGCACCAACTACTACCTATAGTAGTAAGACTGCAGGAGCAGTAGGCTGGCTCAAGACCCCCTCTCTTCCCTGAAAACCTTTGCCTTCTCACTGCCAGCATCAGAAGGAACCCTGATGGAAAGCAGGGTGCTAGGGGATATCTTTTTGTCGTGGTGCAGGACAAAATGAAGGGGAAAGGCTGTTTTTTGAAGAACAGAGGAAACCATTAGACTGTAAATTCGGATGAAGAAAGATGAGGTTAGTGTAGACTTCATGAGCATCCCTCTTCAGCACACAAATTTGTTTAAGTGAACGTAGAATTCCTAAGCATGAGAAAAGGAAGCGAGGGTTTAGATCATGTCAGCAGTTTGGAAGGACCTGTAAAGCCTGCTCGGTGACCTCTAAAGACGACAACAACAAAGGACCCTAATCGAACCCTGATGCTACCACTGTGCTTGACAGAGATTGCAAACCATGGCACTCAACACACTTCAATGAAGAGAAGCATGTTTCTAGTACCACAATAGCATTGCTAAACAGTTTTCAATAATAAATAATAGCTTTAATTATATGCATGTAGCCAAGATAATTTTGTACTATCTCGAATCTCATCTACAATATTAAAGTATGATTGATATAAATCATTATTTAAGATCTAATACCATTTTTAATAGAATGGTATTGTTAGGTACTGGTGAGTCGGTTCCTATTCAACCATCTTATGGACAATGGACTACTGTCCACTCCTGTGCCACCCACAGTTTCTGCTATGTTTGGGCCCACTGTTGTAGCCACTGTGCCAATCCATCTCCATTGAAGGTCTTCCCTTTTTTTTTTATAACCCTATGCCAATTGCAATGTCCTTCTCCAGGGATCAGTCCCTCCTTCTAACATGTCCAAACTGCATGAGATGAGGGCTCCATAGCCTCACTTCTAAAGAGCATTCTGACTGCACTTCCTCCAAGAGAGATCTGTTCCTTCTTCTGTCCGTTGACGGTATATTCAGTATTCTTAGGTCTTCCTTATTCACCGTCCAGCTTTTGCATGCCTAGGAGACAACTACAAACACCATGGCATGGGTCAGGTATGCCTTAGTCCTCAAAATGACACTTTTGCCTTTTAACACTTTAAAGAGGCCTTGGCAGCAGATTCGCCCAGTGGAACACCTTGATTTCTTGACTGCTGCCGCCATGGGAGTGTATTGTCGATCCAAGTAAAACTGCATCCCTGACGATGTCAATATTTTCTCCAGCTATCATGGTAATTGCTTACTGGCCCTGTTCTGAGGGTTTTTGTTTTCTTTATGTTGAGACGTCGTCCACACTGAAGGCAGTCAGCAGTCTTGGATAATCATCTCTAAGTGCCTCAAGTCCTCCCTGCTTTGCAGCAAGCAAGACTGCGTCGTCTGCATACAGTTTTCATGAGTCTGCCTCTAATCCTGACGCTGCATTCATCTTCATAGAATCTGGACCTATTTGCTCAGCATACAGATTGAATAAATAGCACATTTTAATTTCATCTCTAGCCAGTTTTGTTTAAGTACATGAACGTTTTCTATTTCATATCATGTTGCCTGCATAGGAGTGTAGACATTCTGGGATTCCTCTGTCCCCTTACAGAGATGCCTACACCACCAGAAAGGTGGGCAGAGGAGGCAGAATGAAAAACGGTTGCTTCCCAGCCTGATGCTTGTTGGCACCATCCTTCTGGTGAACAGGGCGGTGCGCTGATTGGAAATGCAGCCAGGAGGACACTGAGCTGGGTTACATCGGCCACTTTGGCCACCAGACGAGTCACAGATGCAGACACTTGAAATACTTTCCTTGGTGAAGATTGGCTGAGGCATAAGAACTAACCCTATAAAGTGTCTTTTATAAGAGATCTTATTTCTATGTTTATATATAACTACAGCTGATTGTTTAAAACTATTTTTCATTCCTTGGTGCCCATTTCTATGAGAAATAAACCAGGTGGATCCACCTTTGTCCTTGTGTGTGTAACTCCCTGCGGGCCACCATGGGCTCCTACAGGACTGTCCCAAAAGATAGCGATATTAACCAGTCATGGCTGTGTTCTTTCAATAGTAACACCTAGTGGCCTGACTCCGAAGCTTTTTATACAACAATAATTACTAGTAATTTAATGAGGAACCATATAATTTTTAAATAAAAGGGGGGGATGAACTTACATCCAGGTCGTAGAAAGGCAGTAAGAAACAGTCCCTGCTTACTTACTCTCCAAGGTGTTTTGCACATAGACTGTGAAACTAACACACACAACTTCTTAAACAGCCATATCCACACCTTCAACCTGTAGATGATTACTCTCAAGGTATTAAAATCATGAGCCAAAATAATGAGAGCCTACAACATAGTACTTTAATGAAATTATAGAGAGGTCTGGCCACACGCCTGGAAATTAAGAGATTGAATTCTGGAAATAAGCATCCTGAGTTGATATTTTTTAAACATCAATTGATAATTCATACTACGTAAGAAAAGGAAATTTCCACCGAGCAAATCTGCATCCACTTGGGAGCAGGGAGCAATGACAGCACACAGTCTAGTTTTCATAAAGGGCACTGACTTAGGTGAGCCATTGGAGTGGATGGCCTCGGGGCCTTTATGAAACCGCAGGTGCAGACGTTAGCCTCCCTCTTCATTCTAACATATGCTTACCTGTTGGGCTACTCACCACAAGGTCAGCATTTTGAAAGCACCAGCCACTCCTGACTGGCAGTCTCACAGCATTCTACCCTGTCCCATAGGGCTGCTGTTCGTGGGGATCTATTCAATGACAATGCACCATACAAAGTCCATCCGTAAGCTAGCGAACCATAGTCTGAAACTTACTGGCACATGATCAGCTGTCAAAATAGGGATTAAAATGGGTCAGAGCTGTCTTCTGAGGACAGATGTCTTCTATAAAGCTGGGTCCTAGAGCATAAGAGTTGTCCATCGTTGTTAGCACTGATCCAAGCAAGCACTTAGCAGCAAGCCTATTATGTACATAAGGTCCACCGTCGGTATTACATTGATGCAGAACAGGTTCCAACAGAGCCAAGCTGGACTGAGAAGAAAGGTCTGGTGATCGACTTTCATTTCCGATGACAATTCTGCAACTCGAATCCTCCCTCCCCACCCCCATAATGCCATCGGCGCAAGACGAGGTAGCATCTCATTCTGTTGTGCCTGGGTCACCGTGTGTCAGGTGCCAACTTGGCAGCCAATAGCAAGAGTCAGTAGACTGGAGATTACTGACTTGTTTGGGCCTCAGTTTCCTCATCTTAAAAGGGGCTTAAAGAGCAATCAAATTAGACTGTGTGTATAAGACTTCTCTATACCTGCTTCCCACTCTGGACTGGACTGAAGCATGTACCTAGGTCTAGGCAAGAGATAAAGCTCACGACACATGGAACCCCGGAACAGGAATGGGACTAGTGATACCAAAAGGGGAGGGGGGAGGGGGGCAGAGGTGGGGAGGAAGGGGGTACCGATTGCAGTGAATGGCACATAACCACACACACCCATCCAGGGGGAAGAACAACAGAAACCAGAGGAAAACTGAGACAGCGGTCGGTGTGAGATATGAAAATAACAATCTATAATCTATCAAGGGGTCACGAGGGGCTGGAGGGGGGTCGGGGAGGAAGAGGAGCTGATCCCAGGGACTCAATAGAAAGTAAATGTCTAGAAAAGAATGATGGCAATATATATCCTAATATGTCAGATACAATTGGTGTACGGATTGTAACAAGAGTTGTAAGAACCCCCAACAAAATGCTCTAAAAAAAGAGTTCTCTATACCATAAAACCCAAACTAAACTCACTGCACCGGGTTGATTCTGACTCATAGCGACCCTTTAAGACAGCATAGGTCTGCCCCTTTGGGTTTCTAAGACTGTAAATCTTTATGAGAGCAGACAGCCTCATCTTTCTCCCATAGAGCAGTTGGGGGATTCAAACTGTTGACCTTGCAGTTAGCAGTGCAACTCCTACCCCACTCCACCACCCAGGCTCCTTCTACACCAGAAAGCAGTAAGAAAAGTACAAGTGCCATCTGGTTTTTGCTATGAACTGGGTCTGAATGTGGAAAGACGGGTAATATTTTAGACGAGAATGATTTTACCAAAACTTGATAAACTGGAAAATGTGCACTCACACAAAGGCTGCAGTAAGCACAATACAGGAGGAAGAGAGACAAACGACTCACGAGGGGACACCAGCTGAGCACCAACACCTACTGAGCAGTCAAGAAAGGCTGAGAGCCAGTCTGCTGATGTGTGTGATAAGGGGTGCTCCACATGGATAAGGATCTTTCCTCCTAAGCCTGGGATAGAAAATGAGCATGTTCGCTGCAATTCGGACCAGTCACAGACCACTGGGCCCAGGGGTAGCTTTGTCCTGGGCATCCCTGGTTGGGAGGTCGGCTGGGGCCAATGCCCCCTTTTTGGCATCGGGATCCCTTACCTCAGAGAACCACTGCATCTCCAGGCATTAGCCAGGGCACCAGGTTCAACCTGCTCCGCTGGCCCCGGTGAACCTACGAGGCAGGCCTGGACAGAGACTCCCCCCACATGCCTCCCCCACACTGTTGGTTCAAGATGTGAGGCTTCACCCGGGAGCTGGCAGAGAGCGGTGCTATTTGTACAGAGG